CAATAAACTCAGCTCAGCTCAGTGTTGGCCCTTTGGTGGCCCAGATGAGCATGCATGTCAACTTGTATGGATTGTCTGTAAGTTATAAGGATCTTACATCATTTTGCAGAAAAACGGACTTATAGAGCAATCTCACAGATTTTTTCAAGTCATGGATTTTTTCAAAACCTCATTTTCAAATTTATCTAACATGTCAGAGCCTGTAGGATGACTTAAAAAAAACAATAAATAACATCAAACAGCCAAACTTCCAACCCCCCCCACGCGGGTGCGAGTTGTGCGGATATTTTGCTAAATTTACGGATTTTAGAGGCTTTTTATACAGGTAAACGTCCGAAGAGGTTGACATGTATGGATGAGGTTTGCCTGAGGTGGCATGGGCCAGCATCACAAACCAAACTGCAACTGGGCCAGTTGTGGCATTCCACCTGAAAAACAGCATCATTGCCAGAACTGGCCCACATCTAGTTGACAAACCAATGGCTATGCCAGCAGTGCCAGCTTCACACCAGATCTGGCCTAGACTTGTCTGCTATGTGYGATGTAGGCAGGCTAAAAGTTAAAGTTAGGGAAATGATAGCTAGAAGCTAAATAGCTAAAAACTTACATAAAAGCTAAAAAAGAAGAACATTAGCTAAAGCTAAAAAATACTAATTCAAACTTAAAAGAAGCAAAATACCAACAAAAACAGAAAAAACTAAAGTAACAAAAGGCTGATTAAAAGCTAAATCCCATAGCAAAATTTGTCAGGGCCAGTTCTGGCCCACACAATGCACTCAGTTCCGATTCCATAAAGAATAACAGAGCTGTGGTGACCCAGATTTGGTTTGCCTGAGGTGGTCCATGCATGGGCCAGCACCACACAAATCAAACTACAGTGTAACTTGGCCAGTTGTGATATTCTATCTGAAAAACAGTGCCATCATTGCCAGACCTGGCCCACATCCAGTTGACAGTCAMCCAGCACTGCCAGCTTGACACCAGATCTGGCCTACGTCTGGATTGTGGGATGTAGGCTAGCTAAAAGTTAAATGTAGGACAATGAAAAGCTTAAAGTACCTAAAAGCTACATAAAAGCTAAAAAAGGGGGCAGAACATTAGCTAATACTAAAAAACAACAACAAAACACTAACTAAAACCTAAAAGAAAAAAAAATAGCAACAAAATGTAAAAAAAATAAAGGTAACAAAAGGCTGATTAAAAGCTAAAGCCTACAGAGCAAACTCAGCTCAGGACAAACTTGACTCAGATGCCCCACAGAACGACGGGCCTTTGCTGGCACAGATGTGGTTTACCTGAGGTGGTCCAGTCATGGGCGTCCACCACACAAACCATGCAGTCGTATGAACAGTTGTTGCCAGACCTGGCCCACATCTGTCTATGAGAGATGTAGCAAAAGGATCACTAAAAGTCAAATGAAAGAAAATGATACAGGTGAAAAGTAGCTAAAAACTGCATTCTAGCTGAAAAAGACTGAATTCTAGCTAAAGCTGTAAAAAGCAAAACACTAGCTAAAACTTAAAGGACACCAAAATGGAAGCTAAAAGCTAAAAGAGGAAGAAAAACAAGAGCTAAAACTTAAAG